TTAAAAAATTATGAAAAAAAAAGAAAAAAATATCAAGATGTTTAATATGTAGTTGTTATTTAATATTTTAATATTTTTAATAACAGGATATTTTAATTTGTTATAAAAAAATGGAAAATTATTTTGAGAATATGAGTAAGTTTTAAGTGCCGAAAAAGAAAATTTCTTTGAAATAATTATTGTTAACGTTTTTGGCAAAAATGGTAAGAAAATTATGATGTCAAGAATGGGATTCGAACCCATGCCCTTTCGGACCAGTACCTGAAACTGGCGCCTTAGACCAACTCGGCCATCTTGACGGATGTTTCTGATGATTTTCGTTTTCTTCTAATTTAACTTATACAAAAATATTTGAGAAGCCCAAGTGATACAGGTAATTACCTAAATATTATTATAAAGTATTTCGTGTAGAGTTCAAACTCCACTCCCTCCCTCCCTTCCCCCTCTCCCTAATTGCCCATGGTCCAAAAAAAAAAAAAAAAACTTATACCAAAACCATCAACTTAGCTGAAATTCAACTTGATTTCCTTTTTGATTTACAGGCAAAGGAATTGCTGAATTGCTTTATTATTATTATTATTTTTTTAGTGGAACAAAACCACCAAATTAATGATGAATCATGCATGAACCGTATTGAATTTGAGAGTGATTAGGAATTTAATATCAATATCATAACAAGAGAGAGAACAAGTTTGTAATAATTTTATAAAAAAAAAAAAAAGTTGGTTTATGATGACATGCGACTCATTTGTCATGTGCTGCCTGCAGACACCCAAGGGACACCTAAGAATATGCTAAACAACAGTAGTACCTTCCTGATCAGAAAATGAAAGCATTCTATATTAAACAAATACAAATAATTGCCTTGGACCATTTTTAATTCAAGTGTAGGTTATTTTTCATCTGCAATGTATACCTGAAGAACAAGAAAAGGAGAAACTCTCATTGCAATTTGTAAAAATGGCTCCAACTGGGGTTGCTCTCTGTCCAACTTCATTGTTTGTATCTTCAACTTTGCATAGAAGAAGATACTTGCATACCCATCGGCCCATTTCCAAGTTTTGTGTGACTGCCAGTTGCAACGGCAGCAGAGAGCTGATGGCAGAACCAGAAGTTTCTACGACTGAAAGAGCAAACTTTGGGTTCAAGAACCTAACAGAAACTTTCTGGGTTGATGTTCATAGAGCAGAAGGGAGGCCTTTGAGAGTTAGACTCACTGCACCCTTGACAATCTCATCTTTAAGGTTTGAAGAGGTTGAGAATGTCGCAATCAGGTTTGAGCTGAGTAATGGGTGTGTCGGTTGGGGGGAGGTTCCAATGCTGCCCTTGGTTACAGGGAATCAGGGCATGGCTCTTGTCAAAGTGAAGGAGGCATGTGAGTTTCTGAGCAGAAGTCCACCTATGACTATGAATTTGGTCCTTGACGAGATTGCTGGGATTCTTCCTGGTGCTGAATTTTCTTCTGTGAGTATGATGATATTGTTGATTTCTTCCTTTACCCCCTATTTCCAATTTTTTTTTTTTTTGGGGGTGAAACCCTATTTCCATTTGCTGTCTCAATTTATAGATATATGTTGTTACCTAGGGATTTGGAGATGCAGCATTGATTGTTTTGTTCTGTTGGCTAGGTGTTGTTTTCGATGCATTATTTAGGCTTTTTATTTTATATAAGTAAAAGAACTACCTCCTCTACCAACAAGTTTGTTAAGCACAATGAATCTCCTAATGAAATTCCCTTTGCTTTTCTTAATAAAGTCGCGAGTTTTTGTCAATCATAACTAATTATTAAGCTGTTTGTATAATATCCATGATTGAAGGTTAGGGCTGGAGTTGAAATGGCACTGATTGATGCAGTTGCAAATAGCATTGATGTCCCACTATGGAGATTATTTGGTGGTGTGTCAAATACCTTATCCACTGCTGTTACAGTTAAGTCCCAAGTTATATTGTGATTATGGATATACAATTTCAGATGAATTAGGACTTTGAGTCATTTATAAGCTCAAAGGTTTGAGCTAGAGCTTAATCTTAGTAATTTCCGCATGTGCAGATTCCCAATACTTCCTCTGCCAAGGCTTCTGAATTGGCTTCAAAGTTCCAGAAACTAGGATTTATGATATTCAAGCTTAATGTGGGAAAGAACCTAAGTGCAGATATTGATGTTCTTCAAGCCATTCAGGCGGCTCACCCTCAATGTTCCTTTATTTTGGATGCAAATGAGGGATACCATTCAGAAGGAGCTATAGAAGTTCTTCAAAAGCTAAATGGTAAGATATTTCTAACTGACAAGGGAGCCTGTAGCCCCTTTTGAGAATGTGTTCACTGATTAGCAGAAACCTATTATATCATTTATCATTGCAGATATGGGAGTTGCCCCCATCCTCTTTGAACAACCAGTTCGCAGAGATGACTGGAGAGGTCTTGGTGAAGTCAGTGCCGTTGCTAGAACGAAATACGGGATATCTGTTGCTGCAGATGAAAGTTGTCAGAGTTTGGTTGACATTCAAAGAGTCATAGAGGAAAATCTAGCAGATGTCATCAACATTAAATTAGCTAAATCTGGGATCCTCAAGACACTTAAAATAGTAGAGATGGTTAGAAATTCAGGACTGAACCTCATGATAGACGGCACGGTAGAGACTAGACTTGGCACTGGTGTTGCTGGTCATCTAGCAGCCGGCCTTGGTTGCTTCAAGTAACTATCATGTTCTGCTTGTTCTTATCTTAAATATCTTCAAGCAACTATTCTAAGCAATTAAAGACTTATGGACTAGAGATTTAAGCTCGAATTCAACTTTGTTGCAGATATGTTAATCTCAGCATCCCCATGTTGCTGTCAGAGGATCCAGTTGTGGGAGGTTATGAAGGTACTCTATTGATTTAAACTACGTCCATTTAGCATAATTCCTCTGTGGTTTATAATTTGTACTCAAATTTTTCTATGGTCAGTTTCTGGATCCGGTTACAAGTTTGTTAATAGCCGAGGGCAAGGAGGTTTTCTCAAATGGGATTTTATCTCTTGGTGAGCTTCCCTTTTAACTTTAATTCCATTTCCCCTTAGTTTAGCTTCAACTAGGACTGTATAAAGTGAGTCTTGAATATTATTCTGCAGAAGCAGAGTTGGTGTGTATCAGCATCAGTGCATTCAATTACACTGAAGGTGTCAATTGCCCTGTACTTGGTCCAGAAGTGAGGTTATAATTGTAAAAGACAAAGTCAACTTTTGCTCTACTCTACGGATACAATTTTTTTTTTTTTATTTGCATTAATGAAGAATGTTCGTATCTTTCTGAAAAATTCTACTCGTTGATTATAGGTTAAACTCTCATTATCCTTCAACTATTGTATCGGCTCTTAAATTAGTTTTTAAATTAAAACAATTATTGATGTGGTACCTAAAGTTTTCAAATTTAACTTTAAATTGATCTTTTGTTAGAAAAAGCTAACGTATTTGTTATTTGATGGTAAAAGACCGTTATTTAATAGTCATATGTTACATTAGTAATAAAACATGTTAGTTATTTTTAAATAGATGAATTAAATTAAAATCAAATTTAAAAATTTTAAAGTTCAAATTAAAGATTCTTTTAACTTAAAAACCAATTCAAGAGTTCATGTAATAGTTGAGTAACCATATTGAGATTAACCTTGATTATATTAAGTGTCTGTTTGGTGCATTTTGTTGGAACTTTTGTTTTTTTTTTTTTTTTTTGGTATTATTTATAAGTGATGAATTTAAATTTTTATTGAAAAGAAAATTTAAAAGTTGTTTTTAAAGATAAGAGAAAGTAAGTAAAAATTAAGTAAAAAGGAATTTTATGAAAATTTTGAATTTGAAATTTTTGATTTTTTATTGTTTAAAATCTTTTAAAGATTAAAAAAAAATTTAAAAATATAATTTTTTTTAAAAAAAATTTAAACTTATGAAATATAATTAATATCAAAAAATTAAAGTACTTGGGAAGCTGCACCAAACGGACCTAAGTTGGTTACATGTTGCTATCTTCATAAATTTCATTGTTCGCATCCGTCCGGGGCAGTGAAGCAATCAAGAAATTGAAAGGGGTAAAGGACAAGTCCTGCACGAAATAGACAACTAAGGATGTATTTGTGATTGCAGTTGAAAGTTTTTTATTGTAATCATATAATACTTTCAGATATATGTATATTTAACGATTTTTTTAAATTGTGTTTCTTTTTTTTTAAATCAGAGAAAGTCATAGAAAGCCATAATAGATTTAAAATATGTTTGATATTGTAGTTGAGAGTTTCTTCGTATAGCCACATAGGATTTTGAGATATATGTGTGTTTAGTAATTTTTTTTCAAATTATTTTTTTTTTTAAATTGTAAAAAGCCATAACATATCTACAGTAATTTTATATATAAAGTAAAAAACCTCATTTTTTAACTTTTTGACTATGACTTTTAGCAAAAATATCTAATATTTAATATAATTATAAAATTACTTATTAAAACTCAATTTCATATAATTTAATTACATCATAATTTATAATACTTTAATAATTAAAAACATTTTAAAAACCTCAATTATTAAAAATAATAAATATTATATATTTTAATAATTATATATCTTATAATATTTTTAAAATTTTAATTAATAATTAATAAAATCTATCATATTTAATCAATAATACTTTTAAAAAATAAATAACCAAATATCAAAATAACTTTCAATCACAGTTACAGTACAGTACAGTCACAGCTAAGCACAGCTACAACTATCGCCACAGCACTTCACAGCAATTTCAAACGCACAATTATAATAATTTTATTGAAAAAGCCATAAACTTCATTTTAAAACTTTTTTGAATGTGTTTTTTAAAGAGAATACTTAATATTTAATATAATTATAAAATTACTCATTAAAACCTAATTTCATATAATTTAGGTTAAAACTCCTTTTTGGTCCCTGAACTATTGTATGGACCCCCGATTTGGTCCCTGAACTAAAAAAAATCTCTAATTTGATCCCTACTGTTTACCATTTTTACCCCGATTTGGTCTTTCTGTCAAATATCAACCTACGTGTCCCGTTACTTGACGGGAAAAATGATGACATGTAAAAGCATTTTGACACCTATGAATGACGTACAGTGTGACAAAAAAATGAGATGGCAGGAAAAAAATCTTAAAAAATTTCTTATTCCTTTTTTTTTTTCTTCGTTTGTTTTTCCTTTTTCCCTTTCTTCTTCCTCTCCCTTTCCTTTAACCTTTTGCAAACCCTAACTCCTAATATTAAATTCGAGGATAACACAACAAATCAATAAATTAAACTCAATAGATATTTGACCCAACAACTGCTGGGTTCGAAACGAAACCCAAAGCCTCACTTGCAAGAACCCAGTGGCTACTCAAACCCATTGACTGCTGGGTTTGATTGCGAACCCAGCACCTGCAAAAACCTAGCATTCGAAATTGAAAAATCGAACCTAGCATCGAACCCAACACCTGCAGTAACCCAGCAACTGCCTTGCCTTCTTCATCTTCATCAATCAATTTTTCATCACAATCAAACAACAAAATCCAAAAAACAAAAAACAGAAATTTTTTTAAAAAAATTTTTTGCACCTGCGTTCACAAGGAACCGAACCCAAGTGTGCTAGGTTCCACCAAACCCAAGCATGATGGGTTTGGTGCGAACCTAGATGCGAACCCAGCACGCTTGGGGTCCACCAAACCCAGGCATGCTGGGTTTGGTGCGAACCCATACGCGAACCTAGCGCTTGGGTTCGTAAGGAACCCAGCGCTTGGGTGGGTTCAAAGGAACCCAAGCCTGCTGGGTTCCGAGGGGAAAGAGAAGAGAAAGGGGAAGGAGAAAGAGAAAGGGAAAGGGGAAGGAGAAAGAAAAAAGAAAAAAGAAAAAAAAAATTTAAGTTTTATTTTTCATAATATTTTTTTATATTATTATTTTTTCCACATCATCATTTTTTGGTTATATTATCTTCCACGTGGATTACTATATGA